AGTCTCTCGACCACGTCCCGCTAGAGTAGTTAATTGACTCTAGTACTATCAAACTTAGTATACTTTCTTCGCCCTGCCATGGCGAACAGCTGCATGCGGGGTCACGTGGAAAAAAAAAAAAAATATATATATATATATATATACTTTCTTCAAATAGATAATGGAGTATACATTAAAATCAATAAAATTATAGGTAGAATTATTGACATATAGTGACTCAAAGTATATTTAGTATAGAATTTAGTATATATTCAACTTAGGTCATTGCTTATATCTTACCATTAAGTATAGGAAATATATGAAGAATAATCTATTGTAATCTTTCATACTCTGGCTTCTCAGCACCAGAAATGGCAGAAGGTTTGATACTAGCATCATCAATAGTGCAAATGTCAATAGCAGCAGCAGCAGTAACAGAAGTACTAGAACCAATTCTTTGACTAGAAAGCGTACTAGCAAGTAAGCCTCAGGTTCGAATAAAGTCAAACAGTCTTCTTGCGGCACGCGAGTAATGAAATAAAAAAAAAAAAAAAAAAACAGTCTTCTTTTTTTTTTTTTTTCCTTTCATTAATCTCTTCTAACATTCATCAATATTATATCTCTTGTTCATGTCAGGGCTCATGTTCTTCTCTTTATTACAGATCTATGCACCAACATGTTCAAATCACTGTCATAAAGTAATACTTGCAATTGTACTGATCAGGTGGAGGAGAGTGATGATCTTAATGTATATAGTACCTTTTTTTTTTTTTTTTTTTTTTGTCACGTTACCCCGCTTGCAGCTGATCGCCATGGCAGGGCGTGTATAGTACCATTGTTATCTCATAGGTAGTTATTATAGCTTACTATGACTATTAGGTCATAAGTGAGTATATAGATACATATAGGCACCTCTAGGTACATTCACGTTCCTGACGAGACTGGATGTTCGTGACTGGACGGTGTTTCTGTATCAATACCAGAAATACCTACCAAGAAACTACCACATCTGGCCTTGCCATTATGACCGTAGTGTTGGTAGCTAAGGTATCCTGGCCGTACCCGAGAGTCCGAGAGATCTGCCACAATGTCTGGGCAGACATACAATGACCGGTCGGACATAATCGTCGATCTTGTCGCAGTTGACTTGCACGGTCCGATGTCAGTGGGGGCCATGATGAGTCCGAACTGGCCATGTGCCCTCCATACTTGGCAGACTGAACACTGGTTTTGTATGCAACTTTGTGTTACGTATTTTCTGTATAAGCATGGCTCTGGAAGCCATGCCATGTGAGTGAGAAATTCAGCTTTGTCGTATCCTGCGTCACCCCTTCTATTTTCTGCAGTTCGCACTGCCATAGTCAGGGAATTGCTTTTAATTTCAAGAAAGGTGTAGTTCCTAAGTACTCTCTATACAAGTAGTAACTGGCCTCCCGACCGAGAGGCCCTCCATACCACCACGCTCCTACTCCCATACCTCCCCGCTAGCTCTCTCTGTACTGATCCACTCCCGCTCCCCATTGCGCTCAATCTTCTCAAATACTCACCATGCTACACATACTTATCATGCTATGCTGCCACCATGCTTGCTATACTTCATGACATGCATATGAATACATACTCATCATGCTTCTAAGTCACCATGCCGTACCATGCTTAGAGGTGTCTAGTGTGGTTGCTGCCAAGGTATAGCACACACGTGGTTGTAGCGAGGAGCTAATGGAACCTAAGCCGAAGTGGGACAATGCTATAAGAAGGGACGATTGCTGGCAGTGAACGTAATTGACATTAAGCGATCCAATAATTTTTTTTTTCTGTGATGACGGTGCTGCGCTTTTTGTGGCTTTTCCAACAGTACATAATAGATTGGGTCGTGACATAGAGCATGTGTGCATGTGTGTTTGGAAAGTTAGTTGAAAGGATTATGTGACCGGCACAACCCTGATTTGGTGCCAAGAACAGCCCTGTGGTACGGATCATCACCCCCGGGCTTATCATGCATTGCATAGCCACCCGTGATAACGACATTCGGTATAGATAAGTGGATAACAATTTTAAATAGAACCTATTGATTGCGGGCATCCTTCCGCAGCAATATTTTCTTTCTTTTTTTCAATATCATTACTCGCGCGCTGGCGGCGCTAGTTATCAGGAACAATTACGGTGGAGAAAAGTCACCATACAAGGCGGCGGCTACTACATTCGATCTATCCTAACCAATTGAGGTCATCGGAACACTGACTATCAGAGTTCCGCCGCTGCTTTTCCATTTGTACGCGTCGTCGTACTTATGAATAGAACATCTCGTGTGGAAGGGTTAGCTTTTCATTCCTCAAACTCATTCTTCCAAAATACAATTGGACGACTCCATGGAGGACACGGCCTTCTACTTTCTCTCACGTCCCTCCCATAGGCGGGTAGCTGTATACGGGGTTATGTGACCCAAAAAAACAAAGTGTATCTTACCTTGGAAGCTCAGCTACTCATAAAGCTAGCATCTTCAAGTGGGTTACGTACGTTTGATGCAACCATCCGCGGAGAACTATTTCGATGCGGAAGATTACGAGTTGACTCGCATCTTATCTTTTCCACCCAGCCTAAAAACCACATTCAGCCTTGTGCTCATGACTGCACAGGCTCCAACTGGGCGTGCAGACGTGTTAGACTAATGAACTGGCTGCTCGACTGTGTAAGGCTCACAGATAAAGCGTGCTTCCGAATGTTGGCGCTTTCAATTGCGTTGTTGACTGCATCCGGTACACAGGTTTCTATCTATCTGCAATCTTAAGGGGTTGTTGAGGATTTTGATTTCCTAGCTGAATGCACCAAGCCTGGTGTAGAACGCCGTAGATGGATATGTGTGGCCTTGCGCTGCTTGTTTACGTGGCCTCGGAAAGATACAGCAACGTCATAGGATGTGTACATGGGCTAGTTGCATTGTTTCTTGAGTTCGGCGAATGCTCCATCCACTCGTGATATATAAGGAATTCGGTTAAATCTATTACAAATTACTGGAATATACATTGCTACCTTATTATACCTATGAAGGATTCCTATAAACCCAAATACCATGTATATATAGCCACATCGAACGGGTAGATATGCATGTTTCGGGCCCCTCATATCCCGGCCAGTCACTAATGGCCCTAGGTAATTCTATATATGTACATCACGTATCCCCGCTTGCAGCTACGCCATGACAGGGTAAGACGTTGGAGAGCCGTCAATGGCCCTGGGTTAATCACTAATAGCCTGGACCAGTCATGACTAGTGTGGGCCACAGAAGACACAGGCCATTTGGAACGTGCATAGTAGTTACCTATCTCTATCATAACGGCACTTTTCATTCCCAATGAAAGGGAAAAAATTGCCCAAATGAATGAAAGCTTCCCTGATCAATATGTGTACACATTTTGCAGATACGTGTTTCGATTCTAAAAAGAGAGCTTCCTTGGTAATTTTTTTTTCTTTTTTTATATCAATACTCGCGTGCCGCCCTAGGGGCTATGGCGAGGGTTTATTAAAAGGAACAAGATACATGATGCCCGCTTCCTTGGCAATTGAGAAGTCTGACAGCTGGTAACGAGAACTTTCAGATAGGTCTAGCTCATCATTTGCAGTTGTGAAGGTAAAGACCACCTTATAGGAGAGTTCAATTTGGGAGGGCTTGAAGGCCCATCTGCTGGATGAATGCAGAATGCCAGTTTCGAGAGAGAGAGCAGTGGCCAGGAGGGAGACAGATATAGGTTTCTAAGGTGGATAGAGTTGAAGGGCGGATGCAGAGAAACATATTATTTGTACTTATGAATATCTTTTTTTTTATATTTGGTTTAATGAACTTCTGCTCCCGTGGAAGGACAGCGCGGCTGGTGCATGTATGGTTTGGTAATGTAGAAAGTGGAAAGTGCGGCCGGAGATACTGTGTGAAGGCGTCGACATCAGGTCAGAGCACCATGGGTCACGTGAGGGCATACACGATCAGTGCACGTGTGAGGGAACTTAAATAGGAAGTCCGGAGACATGTACATTCTTCATCATTAAATATCTACCTTCTTCATTACCAAATTTACTGTTCTTACGATACACTGGTTACGAAGGTAAACAAACCACCTTCGAGTAATGTGAGCACTATGTAACTCCTGATGACCTCCCCGCACAGGGCCTAGCAATAGAGTCGTGTTTCCCGTACGCGCTCACACCATAACAATATAAATAAAAATATCAATAAATCAGTACATAAATAGATAAACAAAAAAATAGATAAAAGCTGCAAGGATCTTAAGGTTTGCCAACAAATAGGGATTTCATATACTCAACCTCATTCCTAGTTGTGGCAGATGCAGGATTGAGGATGATGCCAAGAAGTGACGAGCAGAGGAGAGGAACAGACTGAACCTGAGTTACAGGCCACTACAGAGGCTGGGCAAGCTGACCCGCAAACTGGGAGGCCTGATGGGGGGGAAGGCTTGCGAGCTTGGAGGTTCAAGAGTGAAAAGGTGGCCGGACCGGATTGCTAGTGGTGCGGAATGGAAGAGGAAACAGCAGAACACAACTGACCCAGGCGCGATGGGAGAACAGATGGCCAGGGGAGGGATGCAATAAAAGAGCCTCCAACAGGAAAGGAGGACGAACTGGGCTGACTGGAGAATTGAGGAGATAGGTAAAAAATTGACGGGCTGATTTTTCGACATGGCAGTGCTGACGACGAGGGATAGTAGTATAGCTTTTGGAGCGGCAGGTTGTGATTTTTATTTTTGATATTGTGGTTATTTGTTTTATTCATGTTATTTCTTAACCAGACTTAGTCTCGTAACCAGACGCTGACTAAGCGGAGCTTCATGCACCAGGTTGTGATTTTGATTTTTGATATTGTGGTTATTTGTTTTATTCATGTTATTTCTTAACCAGACGCTGACTAAGCGGAGTTTCATGCACCAGACTAGTTATTTCTACAGGAGTTGCAGAGCTGCAATTGGGACACTGGGGATTGATATTCTTGCAATTGAAGAAGGTAAAAATAAAGCCCTATGGGAGGCTCGAACTCGAGACATTGAAGTAACTACATAGTCCATAAAAGTAGCTATTGAGGAGCCACATGCTCTACCCACATGCTCTACCCACTGAGCCAATCAGACTGGCCACTAACTGCAGAGCAGTCAGAGATTATATCGAAAGTTTATGTGAATGGAGGTGGAAGCTGGACAGTGTTCTGTATTCCATGAAAAAAGGCGAAGCCTTTCACACTAAATCTACGGTGAAAACACTTTTGAAAACCAACAATTACATGTATTCCAGTTGCACTGGGCTTGAGCTCATCCAGCTGCAGCTCCATGACAAAGCATTCCTTCACTCGAGGTAAGATGATCATGACGTAATACTACAGCTTATAAACTCTGAGTACAACTGAAGCAATAGTACTATTTGCAGGTGCCAGGGCCACGGCTTCAATCAAACTAGTCATCGCCCAGAAGGCCAGTATGTGAGTAATGAAGACACACATCACCACCACCATCACGACCATCACCACCAACAACAACAAAAAAAAAAAAAAAAAAGAGAGGGCCAAATAGGCTACTGAAGAAGTCGTTTTGGTGATGTTAATATTTCATTAAGATGCAGCTACCTCTTGTAGGATGTTACGGTTTCTACGATGATGTAGTGAATAGAGGTTGTAACTTAGGACAACGCTTGGTGCTTGACCTTTGAGGGACCTGTCCTGCTGGCCCTTCTTATACTGTAGTCAACCTTGTGTGGCTACTGTATATTGTAATTGCTATCAAGTACTCGCTTGTTTAGAAAGTAGCATAATTAGTCAGCCATTCCTAAACAAGCGAGTATCTATGCTAACCTAACCGATTTCCAGCAGTTTCGGCAATCCACATAACTCCGCCCATGGCTATCCCCATAGATGCGGTGCGGCTATAGCTTCCTTACAACTCCAGATGTGACTGTTTCTCCGAGGTGTCGCTGTTCTTCCAAAACTCCAGTTCATCCCCAAGGCACTGTCTTACCGCTCTGACCATGCCAGCACTCCTTGTGATATACGTTCGTGCCCAACCCATGTTTCATTAGAGTGCTTCTCCTAGAAACCGATCATCACCGGGAAACCGATCAAGTCCATTAACTTAAATACAGAGCTGCTGTGAATGCAAATGACACTCAAGTGGGCTCAAATCAAAGCCAGAGCATTAGAGAACATAGTAAATTATTTTCCACACTTTCTATTCCCAGTTGGTAGCACACCAGGGGTGACATATACTGGAACATATGCAACCCTATTCTAGGATATACTTTTGAGTCACTATATGTGAATGAGATTACCTGAGGCCTTTGCATCTCAATATATCCTCTATCGCTTATGCTAAGTGAATATACCAAGTTTTGTGACTATTGGACTTATCAGAACAAAGTTACTGCCATGTCAAAAAAATACTGTTTCGCTTACTTAGATTGATGGCAGTATTGAGATAATATTTGATGAGAAAGATGCACAGAGACTCTATAAAGCTATAGAATAGTAATACATGCATAGGGAAATATTTTCTGAATAAATTGCAGCATTGACAAATGGTTGGGGCAGTTGAGCACAACAAGGAATATTGTAAAAGCCTAACTTCCTCACATAGTACGTAGCAGTGTATGCCAATCTGGTCACTAGAGGTTTAGAAACATGTCTTAGCACTGTCGTATTATTGCTTGTAAGCTTATGTAGGATATTCATGACTCCATTAGATCCTATACGGCTACTATAACCGCACCAGTGAGTAAGTATAGAATATGTATTATTAGCAGTGAATTTTTTTTTTTTTTTTTTTTTTTTTTTTTTTTTTTTTTAATACCATTAATCGCATGTCGCCCTATGGGCTATGGTGATGTTCAGTTACATATGAAATAAAAGGAAAGTTAGATATAAAAGTAGAAATCCTCAGAAACTCCTATGTGAAAAGGAAGTGAGAATAATCTCATTCACATATAGTGACTCAAAAGTTTATCCTAGAATAGGGTTGCATATGTTCCAGTATATGTCACTCCTCATGTGCTACCAACTGGGAATAGAAAGTGTGGAAAATAATTTACTATGTTCTCTAATGCTCTGGCTTTGATTTGAGCCCACTTGAGTGTCATTTGCATTCACAGCAGCTCTGTATTTAAGTTAATGGACTTGATCGGTTTCCCGGTGATGATCGGTTTCTAGGTGAAGCACTCTACCAGATTGTAGCTATTGATCAGGCCAAATCGTCACTAGCAGGTTCATAGGTCAATATCCCCTTCCCGGGTAGGCTCTGGCATAGGAGGAGTGGGTTTTTTTTTTTTTTTTTTTTTTTTTTTTTTTTTTTTTTTTTTTTTTTTTTTTGAGGAGTGGGGTAGTTGTGCATGTTAGAACATTTTAGCTGTGCCAGGTGGTCAAAGGAAACGATTCCACTTACAATACCATAGTATATTTGCTTCTTCTGGTACTGTAGCGCAGAGACGTAGGTCAAGCAGCATTTGCTCCCATTTTGACATTTCTCTGACCTGTAGCACATTATTCATTGAAGAAGAACTGAAGAAGATCAATACTGTGCAATAGATATTATCGTTCGCCTATCTTATTGTTTCCGTCTTGCGTTGGTAACCTTCCAGCAGCATCTCCTCAGCGTGCATTCCGCGCCTATAGCGCGTTTCCTTCTCCATTATGACCCTTAGAGATCTAGGTTGTAGTTTGTATTACTTGGGTATACTAGGGGAAAATATTGCAGTTTACACCGGTCATGCGATACCAAAGCTGCTCAGGCACATACTGATATTCCCCGAAATATTTTAGCCCTGTTTCGAGTATGATTCAGACTCAATAACAACGTACCAGCTTATTCGATGTCCGCAATGTTTTTTATTTTTTTTTTTTATATCAGTACTGGCGTGCCGCCCTAGGGGCTATGGTGAGGGGATGTCCGCAAGTGTAGGTCGTTCCCGCTTGTCAGGCCTCCAGGGGAACACACGGAGGCAGTGCGTATGATTTGCTATAAAGCCAGTTAAACCTTGAATACGCCTGATAATGGGGAATGCTACTCTACATGAACTATGCGTCCGCGTGGGCTCAGTGTAACCATACAGTCTCTGCAAGTAAGGTGAAAATCAATGTGTTGGATATTTTAAGATTACTCAGTATCCGACATCACTTTAATGTAGTCAATTGGGACCCTGAGTGTTGAATCGTGAGGCTGAATCCGCGTTGTGTCGCTTATTGAACCATACGATACGCAACTGTGCTACGTCGTTCATGAAATAACTAAACCTCCAAAAATAGGCTCCTCATTAGACTTTTTGCTGTTTAATCGTACCTTGAATAGGTTTTCCTGAACAAATAGGGAAGGTAGAACGGTATCGGAGAGTGAGTGGCACAGCAATCTGCTGACCTTGGAGCTATACTGCTCGCGCTCCAGACCATCACCCTCACATTACCTTATTCAGAAACCATTGAATGACGAGTACTGACTAGGATTCTTTGCGAGCAGTGCCAGCTTCGGCTGGGCACAAGGTATGATAACAGTCCCCAAACAACTTTCAGGCAAACAAAAACTGCCGTTGCCACTCGAAGACCATTCATGGCAATAGCTATTACTTAACGCTATTTCGTTAAACCACTTTAGTGCAGCCGCGCTTGCAGTTTCTTCGTTTTAGGCAATATCCCTAATGCAGCCTCTCATCACTGGTGATAAGACTAGATTACCTCCATGAAACTAGGAAGCTGAGTTGTAATATCGCTTGAACCGATCCCCAGTGCGTGAACAGCAGAGTAAGTCGTGGCGAGGTTCTGTACTATCACCTCATGAGCTACATAACTGTCCATGGTAGCTTGTGCTTTTTCTGCGGAATGGGATTCAAGGCAGGGTATGCCCACCGTCACGCTATGGTAACAAGGCTAGATCTATATATATACTTGAAGTTAACCATAGGCTCGTGGCCTTTTTTTTTTTTAATATCATTACTCGCTTGCCGCCCTATGGGCTATGGCGAGGTATAGTGGCCTGTACGTGGGGTTACGTGATAAAAAAAAAATAAGAAAAAGGCCCGAGTGAGGAGGCATGAGGTACCAGTATTGTCCGTTACCCTCATCCTCACCATAGCCGGCATGCGAGTACTGATATTAAAAAAAAAAAAAAAAAAAACCCTCAGCAAGCCTGAGGGGGCGTAGAGCTAGCAGTGATAGCTTAGCGTTTGTAAAGTGGCAATGCAAAACTCGACCTCTTATAGGAGGGTGGGCCCTGAGGGGTTGTGCAATAAAAAAAAAAAGACTTCTTATTGGGCCAGACGATGTGACTAGAAGGCCTTGGCATGAGACTAATACAATTCTAGTCTCGTTGATACAATTCCGGAGCTTGCACTGCCCACTCCGAGAATAGTAAGTCAGCATGCTCCAGTAAGGTGACTGTACGCAACATCGCCCTGGCCATATGCATGTCAATTTTCTAGAAAATACTGTGCAGATCGTGCGGGTGCATTTTTAGTCTTTGTTCCATGATTGTTAGAGCCAAGTAATCGGTAATTATATCTTGGCAACATAGAAAGCCGTTTACCGTTCTGACAAGACATCTAGAGTGGGTTGTAGGTGATTTGGGGAACGCAATTGCTCAAGCCATCACTGAGTCATGTCAATCTTGCATTCCATATTATCGATCATTGCTTATCATCCTAATTGAATAACCTTTTAAACACAGTGCTGTGCAACCGTCAACTACAAGTCGCATAAAACGTAATCAAGAATGATTCATGAGATACCAAGATTCGTCTACAAGCGCGAGCTCAGCGCGGCTGTCACACAACGCACTTTGGCGCAGCACTGATCTTAGGTTGCTTTGTGTCACAAAAAAAGCTTAAACTTGATATATCAACCATCCAACGCGCCCGGTTACCCCGCAGTGAGCCTTGCCGCTCAGGCCACGAGACTCGCGAGACGGCCCAAGGTATGCTGCTATATTTTTTATCATTCAGTATTCAATTTATAGGCTTTTTTTTTTGCTCTGTGTGCGAAAGAGTGAGTGGGATTGAGTTTGTGCTACTTATCCTGGATACGCCACCCGGGAACCAGAAGCGGGCCAAATAGGTAACATCCGCACGAGCAAATTGATAATGCAATAGGTGCCTTTATATGAGT